TATTATTGTTATTATTATTATTTCAATTACTAAACTCTTCTTATCTCTACCCATGAGGTTTTTTTCCCCAGTTCTCCCCATCCCACTGTGGGGGGGGCAGAAGTGAGTGACTGGCCGTGTGGTGCTTAGTTGCCAGCTGGAGTTAAACCACAACACCTCCAGACTGAAACTTATTATTTTGAAAGTATTCTGGTCATCTGTTAGCATTTGAAAAAGCAGGAAAAGATAAAGTAGCTGAATGTAAACACCAAAGTGAAAGGAGATCTAGTTTTAACAAATGAAATCCAGCCTAGCCTGGTTTATATTGCTCTTCATTGATGATTTTCTTAATTTGCATGTGCTCTTTGACGCATATAATCTTTAATTTGCACATAACCTTGCCTTCTCTTTCCCACCATTATAGCCTGAAAGGTTTGTTAACCTTGGAATCGAGCCTCCCAAAGGAGTACTTTTGTTTGGGCCACCTGGCACAGGCAAAACTCTCTGTGCCCGTGCTGTTGCTAACAGGACTGATGCCTGCTTCATCAGAGTAATTGGATCTGAATTGGTGCAGAAGTATGTGGGGGAGGTAAGAGCAAATACTGATGGAGTGTGGAGTGATTTTGAGATTCGCAGTCATGGGGGACCAGACATCATGGTGTGATGGATGAATGTATGAGCATTTTGGAAATACAAGGAGAGGGGGGAACTGTCAAACAAATCACTGCAGATCAGGCAATCAGTTATAAGACCTGAACGTGTTGTCACTGATGAAATGGATTTTGCAATGCAGAGTTTAATCTGCAGTTCTGGACTCTAGGATTAGGATTCTGTTCCCAACTCTGCCACTTATTTTTCACTTGGCCCTGAGGTAAATGACTTCATCTGTATTTCTGAATTTGAGAGTAGTAATTTCTCTCTCCTGTAGAAATTGCTTTAAGATTTATGAATGTTCTGTTAAATATGTGTGTGCAAATAAGAGTTTTATCATTGGAAACTTAGAAGTGTTTGGAAGCATGAGAAATTTAATTTTCACAGTTTTCATTTAATGTGCCTTGAGTCCTGATTTTTGCTTTCAGGGAGCTCGAATGGTTCGTGAACTCTTTGAAATGGCCAGAACTAAAAAAGCTTGTCTGATATTCTTTGATGAAATTGATGCCATTGGAGGTATGTTTGTAGTATATATAGCTCTCATCTCATATGAGAACTTTCAGGTTTTCTTTTTGTGTTGTGATTCCTTGTCTGCATTGCTGCATTTCAGGAAATGTGCTTGTAAATACCTAGTTAGCAGAATGACTACCAGCATGTCTGGGCAGCTGTCCAGAAGTGGTTTATATAGTTTGAATCTATTTAACCCAGATGAGAAGTCATTTTAGCACGTTTGGAACACTCGGATTATTTAAACTTTAGTGAAGAATCTCTGTATTGTCTTTGCAAAAACTGCTGTTAACTTAAACCCCCTTCAGCTTCTGGACTACGTACTGAATCTTTATCACTGACTGATTTTATTTTTTTTCCCCACAAAGGAAGTACTTAGGTCCTTTGAAAGTAGAACAATTTTTACACAGGCAAGGAGGGGAAGGATTTTGATTGAGGGGAGGCAGAACAAGCAAACTACATTTATAAATTTCAGCAGCTCAGCCAGTTATTATGCAGGGAGATGGGCCCTTTCATACTAAGGATGAAGATACAGAGCCTGTTATAACTGACAGATGACACCACTCACTCTTTTTTTTCTAAATGTCTCATTTTCTAATAACCCCCTTACACCTTTTTTTAAACTCATGACAAATATTTGTTTGTAATTTAAAATTATTTTTCCAAGTGCCTTCTGTGTAGCAGCTGTGACACCTCCTGCATGCTCTGAAGGTCCCTCTCTTGTTTTGTGAAACACACGTGTCTCCTCTCTCCAGGTGCTCGTTTTGATGATGGGGCTGGGGGTGACAATGAAGTGCAACGAACTATGCTGGAGCTGATCAACCAGTTGGATGGTTTTGACCCACGAGGCAACATCAAAGTGCTGATGGCTACAAACAGACCTGATACTCTGGATCCAGCCCTGATGAGGCCTGGCAGGTTGGATAGGAAGATAGAGTTTAGCTTACCTGATCTTGAGGTGAGGGTATTTTCTTTCACAGCTAAGTCTATTCTGATGTCAGAGTGTTTCTTCAGTTAGGGCATCATTGCCTGGAAGCAGTTGATGAGAATTAACAAAAGCAGCACTCCTAACTTAACATGAAACTACATGGAAATTTGTGGGATTCAGGATGGGCCAAAGAGGTTTTCCCACACTGCACAGATTCCATCCCTGGCTGAGAAGCCTTGGTAAGACAGCTGTATTCACTGGCTGTTCCTGACTCAGCAAGCACAGAATCCTTTCACCAGTTCCGTGATTTAGTTCTTAAGTTGGAATGTGTTTTGTTTGGCTATTTTGAGAGAGGTTTCTTGAGATACTTCTACAATTAAAGCTCTTTTCTAAGTTATTTTCTTAATTTAATATTGTGGACATTTAAATATGCTAGTCCAGACACAGGAAGTGGTAGCTGGGCAGCAAATAAAATATTTATTTTCCATCTGCCCTTGCTCTGGATGTGGACAGCTGCACGCTGAGAGTTATCACCTCTTTCACAGCATGAACACTTCTATCCTCCACTCTTTTTCAGGGGCGAACTCACATATTCAAGATCCATGCTCGTTCGATGAGTGTGGAGAGAGACATAAGATTTGAGCTGTTGGCTCGACTCTGTCCTAATAGCACAGGTAAGCTGGATTTTCTTTTTTTTTTTAAGAATGGTGTATGCTTTGCCTCCATTGGTGCTCAGTGTTGAATGTGGTGTTATCCCTTTCTTTCAAAGGTGCTGAGATCCGCAGTGTCTGCACGGAGGCCGGCATGTTTGCTATCCGCGCACGTCGCAAAATCGCAACAGAGAAAGACTTCCTGGAAGCAGTGAACAAAGTCATTAAATCGTACGCGAAATTCAGTGCTACCCCCCGCTACATGACCTACAACTAATATCTCACTGTGTTTTTCCTGTTCCTGTTGCTAAACTTTCTGTGAAACAAAAATCCAAGCGTAGTAATCCATGTCTTGTTCTTGGAAGCTAGAAATAAATGGAGATTCCAAACAGTAGCTGTGAGTTCATGATGAGTGTGTTCACCGTGGAGTATTGCTGCTGTAGAAAAAGAATCTCAGTGAGATTCTAATACCACTGCCTAAACCAGTGGGTTATTTTTAAGTCAGATACCTGTGTGATGTTAGAAATGCGAAGTTTAGATGCCTAGTCACCATTTACACCCCAAAACTTACCTAAGCTCTAGAGGCGCTGGAAGATCTCTAAGTGATGGCAGTTTGGCAGTGTGCTCAGAAACGCTTGCGTGGTGCTCAGCAGTGTGGTGTAGGTGTGTCCTGAGAGAACTCAGCCCTGCAAAGGCAAGCAGCTGAGGAGAGGGCATGCATAGCTCTGCTCGGGTGCTTAGTGCTCTGAGGCATCGCACAGCTTGGGGAAGATGTGAAGGGAGAGTTTCTTTTTCTTTCCCTGGGTTAACACTCTGGTACCATCATAACTTGTTTTTTGGGTTTGTGGGTTTTTTTTCCTCCAGTGGTTTTCTTATTTTTTTGCCATTCTTTTTGTTTTTGCTGAGATTCTTTGTTTCTTATAAAATAGAAGGAGGAAGAAGTGTAATTTCTTAGCACTAAGGGAAGGAAGATTCCTGTTCCTGCTCCAAAAAAGATTGAAGTTTGTCATCAGTCTGTGCACAGAGGATGACCCGGATTAAGGGCCTGATGCTCTCTGGTACCTGGGCAATAGCTGGTTGTTTTTGGCAGCAGGCAACACTAAAAGGTTGATCGTCATTCATCTGGCATGTTCCTGTGGAGCTGGGTGGTTTGGGCAATGAAAAGCAACAGCTTTTCTTTTTCTTTTTTCCAAGTGTTGCATTAAAGTTTTGTGCGAGACGGGGAAGAGCTTGAAGAAATACATGGGGGGAAAAAATGCTTTTGGGATTGAGACTGCTTTGTCTTGGAAGTGAGAGAAGTTAAGTCTCATTTTGATACAACTGACATCAATTTATCAAGCTTAGATTGTGAAGCCACTTCATCTTTTTTTGGAAGAGGAAGTGTGTACAGCAGGGGAAGTGTGTATGCAGCACGCGGCCTTTGTTAGGATTTTGGCCAGTGTCAGTATCTCGATAAGCAAATTTAGGCAATCTTGTGGTTTTGCCCATTCTTGCTTGAAAAACTGATTTCAATGGTTTTGTGTTATTTTGGTTAGAACATTTTGAGGAGGGATGCAAGTTTATTGGTGTTGGAAGAGGAAGTGTGTACAGCAGGGGAAGTGTGTATGCAGCACGCGGCCTTTGTTAGGATTTTGGCCAGTGTCAGTATCTCGATAAGCAAATTTAGGCAATCTTGTGGTTTTGCCCATTCTTGCTTGAAAAACTGATTTCAATGGTTTTGTGTTATTTTGGTTAGAACATTTTGAGGAGGGATGCAAGTTTATTGGTG